ACCAGCTCCATTTTTTTGGACAAATTTTGAACTTTTGTATTTAATTTCATGTACATATTTTTACATAATCATAGAATCCCTACAGTGTGGAAAGAGGCCATTTGGTCCATCAAGTCTGCTTTGATCCTCCGAAGAGCATTGCACCCAAATCCAGTCCTGTCCCTCTAACTCCGCATTTGCCATGGCTAATCCCACTAACCTACACATCCCTGGACACTACAGCCCATTTAGCATGTCCAGTCCACCTAAGCACAACTTTGGGCTGTGGGAGGAACCCAGAGGAAACCTATGCAGACACAGGGAGAACGTGCAAACTCCAGACAGACGTTCACCTGAGGGAGAAATGGAACCTGGGTCCCTTGCACTGTAAGGCAGCAGTGCAAACTCTGTTTGCATTTTAAGTGTCATCTGTCTCTGAGTTCAGTAGCAATAACTTATTTATGAAATAATGGTCAGAGAATCACATTTGAATATAACAGCTCCACATTCCTGTTGTGTGTCTGGGACTTAAGGAGACTGACATCTCACAGCCATTTTGCTGCACATTGGTTAAGTCCAGAGACCCTTTACAAAGTGCAGTGAAGGGACCTGGAACAACATAAGAGATACAACTTCCTTGCCCCAAACTATTTTGATAAAATTAGTGATATGGTCAAATGAAGTTACTCCTCCGAGATGGGAGGCCTGCTCAATTTTGCTTTATTTGTTTCTTTTTCCCTTTATAGCTGATTTGTAGCTTTTAGAAGCAGACACAGGCCTTTAGATATGATATTATCCATGTTACTAATAAGTAACGTGAACTATTGAGGCCCAAACACAGATTCTGTGGGACACCACTGGTCACATCCTGCCAATTTGAGTACCTACACATTATCTCTACTTTCTGTCACTTGCCACTCAATCAACTTGCCCTCAGTTCCATTGGCTTCTACCTTAGGTAACAGTCTCTTTTGTGGAACTTTGTAGCCTTCTGGAAGTCCATGTAGACAACATCCAATACAATCCCCTGTCCACTACCTTTGTTACCTTTTCAAAAAATTCAGTGTTCTCCCTAAAGTCCTTTAACACCCTCAGATGGAAATTAGCAGGTCCAGGAAACTTGTCACTCTTTAATACCATTAATTCCTCATTACCGGTGTTCTACTTACGTTAATTCATTTAGTCCCTATTTCCTGATCCACCATTAATTTCCTTGGGAATTCCGACAAGCTAGTCTCCTTTTCTACAGTAAATATCCTTGTGACAGGCTGATTTTGGGAACTGGGAAAAGGTGCAATGCAAATGCCTTGTTGAGGTAGAATGAGAGGACCTTTATTCTGTACCTAGTTGAGTTCTAACTGACCTGAACGTATTGCTGATACCTCAGCTGGAAAATATTGTATGTGGTAGCACCAATATATCTTGCTAAGTGTAAGAGCAGTGAATAATATTGTTGAGCACCAATTAGATTCCTCTGATCTGCTATTCACAAACCACTCCTCAATATTACTATTTTGTCAACTTCACAGCATAAAGGAATTGTCATGCCATGCTTAAAAGCTGAACTGGTGTAAAGTTTACTACACCTAAAACTGATTCTGATATTCTTGTTAAACATGTCCCAAATATAGCCTTTAAAGTGTGCACTGTTATAGCTACTGCATTTGCTGGATAGAGATATAGTACTCTGTTCAGACTTTAAATCATTTCAATGTGTGAAGATGCTGTTGTAAAATTTGTTGTGAAGTATCATGATTTGATGTGGTCCATGTAGTTTTATAATATTGGACAGAGCCCAAACAAGCAACATCAAATTCTATTCTTCTAAACTGACGCAAATGGGTATTGGTCAAAAACTGTGGAAAGTGTGAAAGGCTATTCAGCAAGATACATTCTCTGTGAATGGGGAGTGATTTAGTAACAATTATCAGTTTACTGGAATAATGCTCTGAATTGGATCAGGGATGAGAGTCATAAATTAAATGGAACAGCACAACTGGGTAGGCTTTTATGATCCAACTTACTTCTTTATCAGAAAATCTCCTTATTTGTTACAATTTCTGCCATCAATGAAACTAGTCGAAAAGGTAGATTTTTTAACCGAATATTAACCAGCATTTAAATCATTGAACATCTGCATTTCTGCATGTTTAATGTGCATTTGACAGTTGAGGCTTGTTTGAAAACATGAATGCCTATAATGTTGTGATACTATCTTAGAAAGTTGGTTTTTTGAAAGATTGCACAAAGGTGAGATTAGGTTTTATGTCAGCTTTCTATGGGGAGTTTGATTCAATGATTGCCAATAGCTCCAACAACAGCTTCATGCCAGGGATCCAGCCAGAAATTCCCTTTTATCTTGTACAAATTATCATTGTTGTGGCTAACATGTCAATTTCAATCTCTAAATGGTGATGAAATGGGTCATATTTTTGTTTGATTGCTTTAGAGCACTAAAGAGACAGAATATTGGAATGGGTGCATTCTTTCTGTGATGTGCTACCAGATTTGAAGAGTATGTGGAGAACCAACCAAACAAGAGACAAATCAAGCAGAACAAATATATTGCTTCCTTCTGCAAGAGTAAGTTCTTCGGAGTGCTGATCCATCAACATTATTTCCAGTAGGATGTGCAGTGAAAACATCAAGTGTAGCTACACAAAGCTTTTTGAAGAAAGAAAACACACAGTGGGAAGTGATACATAAGATAGTGATGAAAGACAACACGGGTTAATTCTAAGACAAGAGTGTGGAGCTGGAGGAACACAGCAGGCCAGGCAGCATCGGAGGAGCAGGAAAGTTGACGTCTCGTGTTGGCACCCTTCTTCAGAAATGGGGGAGGGGGAAGGAAGCTCAGAAATAAATAGAGAGAGGAGGGGTGGGGCTGGGGAAAGTAGGTGGGCTGGTGATAAGTGAGTGCAAGTAGGGAGTGCTGTATAAGTGGGATGGGTGGGGTGGACAGGTGGGACAGAAGATGGACAGGTTGTGTCAGGTCAAGGAGGCAGGAGGGAGGATGGGTGGGACTAGAGAAAGGTAGGTGGGAGTGGTGATAAGTTGGATGCAGGTAAGGGGTAGTGGGGATTGGTTGGCAGGAAGGGTAGGGCAGATAGGTGGGGAAGAAGATGGACAGGTTGTGTCAGGTTAAGCAGGCAGGGATGAGAGAGATGTTTGAATGTGGGATGAGGGCGGAGGTGGGGCGATTTTGAAACTGGTAAATTCTGTGTTAAGACCATCGGGCTGTAGGCTCCCGAGGCGGAATATGAGGTGCTGCTCCTCCAGTTTGCGGGTGGTGTCATTGTGACACTGGAGGAGGCCCAGGATGGACATGTCACCCAGGGAGTGGGAGGGGGACTTAAAATGGTTGGCGACTGGAAGGTTTTGTCATTGGTCATGAACAGAGCACAGATGCTCCATGAAACGGTCCCCAAGTCTGTACTTGGTCTCATTGATGTAGAGGAGGCCACATCGGGAGCAACAGATACAGTAGACCAGGTTGGAGGATGTACAGGTGAACCCCTATTGGCTATGAAAGATTTGCTTTGGGCCTTGGATAGAGGTGGGGGTGGGGGCGTGGGGGAGGTGTAGGGGCAGGTGTAAACATTCTGTGGTTACAGGAAAAGTTGCCGTGTGTGGTGGGGTTCGTGGGGATTGTGGAGCAGATGAAACAGTCGCAGAGTGAGCGGTCCCCACAAAAGGCAGATAGGGGTGGGGAGGGAAATATCCCTCTGGTCGTGGGGTTGGATTGTCGGTGGTGGAAATGGCAGAGAATGACATGCTGGATGAGAAGGTTGATGGGGTGGTATGTGAGGACAAGGAGGATTCTGTCTTTAATTTTGTTGGGTGGAGGGGGTGTGAGGGTGGAAGTGTAGGAAATGCAAGAGATGCAACTTTTTCCCCACTAACCCCTTCCCTGCATCCAATCTATCACCATCCCACCTACCTTCACCAGCCCCAACCCTCCTCTCTCTTCATTTCCCAGCTCCCTTCCCCTACACCCTTTCTGAAGAAGGGTCCTGACCCAAAACGTCAACTTTCCTGCTTCTCTGATGCTGCCTGGCGTGCTGTGTTCATCCAGCTCCACACTGGGTAATCTCTGACTCCAGCACCAGCAGTTCTGTGGGTCAATTCCAAGATGTGGTTCTCCCTGCTACTCCATTAATTCCAACATTGACTCTGATTAGTCAAATTTCTTTAGCTTTTAGGGCAGTGCTCTGCTTCAATATTTCTACACTATTATTAAGATGTTAGAAGGAGCAGTTATCACTGAATAATTTCCCTTGAGATTGGATAATCCTTTTTCTTCCAAGAAAATGTTTGGCACAACTTGCCACCCATGTGGTTTGGGCCTGAATCAAAAGCCAAGGGCAGGAGATCATATGAAAGGTGCTGTGTTGTACTTGAAACTGATACATATTGGATTCATTTCAAGGTGTATGAGAGGACAAACATTGGCTCAAGTACAAGATAACTGGGAGCACTAATGAGAGTTCAATTATCTGCACATCTGTTTAGTAATGAAGAAAGACTGTGTGCTGAGGTGTAAGCAAGAGTCATTTATCAACCTAACTTGATGGTTGAAAGATGATTGGCAGCTCAGCAGAGAATCCACATGTAACAATTATCAGTTCTTGAACTTACACACAGAAACATCACGTCTATATCTCCAGCCACAGATCCACTCTGTTTAGTTTATATAGTCAACAAAATATCTATTTTGTTTTCATCATAGGAAATTGCTTTCTTAAATTGATAATAACTATGCAATTTTCCCATTCTGCTTAGTTCTTAACATGAGAACTCAATAGTTCTGGAAGTCCCACATTCTGTCAGCCACAGTAGGGTAAGGACTTTGGTTTTCACTTTCGTCCTATCCCATGCAGAAGGGGCAGTGTCTTTTTAATAATAAGAGCAGTTCATGTTTGCACTAATAATAGGTCAGAGGGACATCAAAGCACATTTCCCAATATCTCCGTCAGATCCAATTGATCACTTCACAGGGTGGGGGGCAGTGGAGAGGTGGTGGTGGGTGGTGCTCTTGTGGTTCCTGTCACTAAATACTCAGTTTTTCATGGCAGGAAGGGCGTCTGCTTGTCAGCAGCTGCTGAGAAAAATAGGCCAGACTTCTCAGGAGCTGGGGCGGTGGGGCTGGGTGGGAGTCCAGCCACGATGTCGTCACACTGGAGGGCATGCAGAGGAAATGCCTACTCCCTGTTCGAACAAAATCCATTAACCCAGCAAAGCATACGAACAAAACGCAAACAGATTGGGCCCCAAATTGCTTCCCTGGCCCAGATCGACCCCCAACAAAGGTCAAATTACGTCTCAGAATAAATCTTTACTAGACTATTAATACAGATTGAAAAATTTTGCATGTAAATAGATGTATTACCAAAATCTCTTGTTTTGTTCTTTTATGTTTCTGGCAGTCTGCATGTTGTCGTGGAATTAATCGACTAAGGTTATCAGTGAACAAATCAATTTGTTTGAAGTGGCCTGCTCAAGCAGTAAAGTGGTATGACTTTCAAGCATGGTAACATGTTAGCACGTCTCTCTCTCTCTCTTCCCCCATGCCACCTCCAAAAGCAAGTTCAGCAGATTCAGCCCTGCTGCTGTGGGACTGAGGCAATTGGATATTAACTGGAGATTTCACTCAGAGATGCCATAATATTTGGATGTAAAAGTGGGGAGACTGGGGGCTTCAGCTGAAACATTAACCTTGTTGAGTTGGTGTCAGTCCAGACCTGAACTGGGAGTACAGAGTACCTGAAATGAGATGCATCTCATTTCTAAAAACCAACGCTGTCTATAAAAATTAATTAAATATTAAATTTGATAATTTGTAGCAGGGTGGTAAAAGAGGGAACTTCATAGGGTAGAAATCTCCAAAGCTAAGCTTTTATCACTTGCACAGGGGGCCTGTGCATTAAGGGGAACAATTATCAAAAGTGTTTATTGTAAATCAGGCCGAGGCAGTAGACAAAATACAGAGAAATCAGCATTGATTACTCCAGTTTCCTGGCATGAGGCAGTTGTAATTAATTGACAGAGAAAAATCAACAAGAATGAAAATTAATGTTTGAAAAAATAATAATTTTACCATGATTAAGATCTGACCTTTCAAACGCGATGCATTAGAAACAAATCCCACAGGATTATACATCAATACCCAATATATTTTTAAGATTATCTTTTATTGTCATATTAACAGTGAATATGATGGAGCAGACGGGTAATGTCTAATAATTGATATGAATGAAGCTTAATTATTTAAAGAAGGAGGGAAGTCTGATGGGAGGAATACTTGTTTTACAAATCATTCCAAAAAGAATTGTACTTAACATACATCTGTTATAGTTATTTTTAATCATTCTAAAGATTGACATCTCACATCTGGACTTTCCCTGCTTAGCTATTTGTGTGATATATACTGCAGCTGCTGTATCTTCATTAAGTTAAATACATCATGGCACCTCACACTGGTCTGGACCTCACTCGGCACTTCAGCACAGTGACATGATGGAAGATGCACTCAGATCTATTTAACTAAAAACCACAACAAACAAATCGGTCATTAGGCCCATTCTGTTCAGTCCTCCAGCTGGCAATCTTTTGGCTCTCGTTTTTGCTAAATGTTTCTGTCCTTCAACCTTCTGCCTGATCTAGTCTTAAATGCCGACAACAGCCTCTGCTTCTATCATTAACCTGGTAGTCACTCCCTGTGAGGATAATTCCTTGTGCTTTCTATTGTAAATCTCTTTGGGTTATCCTTTTACCCATGTTCCCTTTTTCTGGATCCCTCAATAACGGGAGGTTGCCTTTTTGCATCTTTCAGCGTCATTATGTCTTCTAGCATCATTGTTTTAAATTACAACTGCCAATTTCACTATCTTAAATTTTCTTTAATAGTCCCCTCTATCAAAGATATTCTGAAAGCCCACGGACATCACTCTCTACCTTCCTTACCCCACAGCATCTGCCACCTACTTGAGGAAGTTCATCCAGCATTGCTTTCTGAAATAAAATGCAGAAAGTGCTGGAGAAATTCAGCAGGTCCACCAGCACCTGTAGAGTGAGAAACAACAGTTAAAGTTTCAACTTCAATATGACTTCTTCAGAACTCTCCACAACTTTGGGTCTACCACAGCAAATGGACTGCAGAGATTCAAGAAGATAGCTCACTACCACCTTCTCAAGGACATCAAGTGATCTCAGTCAGTGGGACAGTAAAGATTGCATTGACCTCAGCCTTCCTGTGTTATGACTGCAGCAATACAGAAGCAATGTCCAACATCTCTTCACCCTTGGCCGGAGGATTGTCAATGGTAGGAGAATATGAATGGCCAATTTGTCGACTCTCAGCGCAATGTTGCAGAACAATGGAATGGAAACAATGGAGAAAATACGTCTAGTATTCAAAAGTTCTTCCAAGTATTTCAGTTGAAATCTTTTCTGGACTCTGCCAAATTGCAATTAAAAACAGAAAACGCTCAGCAGAATCTGGGAACTTCTGTGGAGAGAGAAATGGAGCTAATATGTCATGCTAATGTTGCTGCATCAAAATGTAAACTGCACTGGCACATTGCAAGATTTCATCTCTTATTTCCCAGAAGATAAAAGTTACAAATGGAAACCTGTCTGGAATAGTGATTTTTTTCTCTTCATTATCATTTAGATATTAATATTTAAAGTAAAAGAAATCTTTCTCCCCACACTACAAAAGCAAAGTGTAGTAAGTGACCTTGAAATAGTGATTATGCAAAGCTATCCACTTAATGATAACTAAATAACTCACGCAACCTTCAAGCTAGTAAGTTAAATATTTCAGTCAACTTAATTAATGCTGCATTTCCTTGACCGAGTGTTTACATAATTTCAATACAGCTCAAACAAAAGAGTAATTTTAATGTCAATGTAGGTCAATGCAGTCATGAGTTACAGACATACCCATAATTTTCCTTTTATCAACGCTTCACCACTTGCAGCTTATAAACATTTCAAAGTGGTTGGAGACAGAGAGTTCTCACTGAAAGAGCCAAGGAAGGAGGAAAGTCTTCTCACTGACGATTATTAGAAACAAGAAACAAGAAATGGGAGCCTCAAGGCAGCTCCATTTTTCCCAAATAATCATGGCTGATTTTCAAATACAAACCCACTTTACTGTCCAACTTCATATCCCTTAATTAATGGAAGGTTCTTTCTCTGAATTGCAAACTCACCAGCTGAGGGCTGGGAGAGTACGATATGGGAAAGCAGCAAGGGTGTGTGTTGAATAGTCAAGGCTGGAAGTAAATTGAAGGGTTTCAGCAGCAGATAAGCTGAGACAGGAGTGAAGAAGTCAGGCAATGCTACAGAGGTAGGAATAAAGTATCTTGGTACTGAAACAAAATATGTCGCAAGTTAATCTCCAGATCAAATGGGCTGCTTGGCTTAATCTCAGACTATTGCCAGGAAGAGGGTTAGAGTTATAAGTGACAGCCTTCTGCCTCATAAAGAAATGATTTTGGCTGAATTGGTCAATTCTGTGTCCAGTGCGTCACATCCAATTTGCAGCAGCACAGTTTGCTGCTCTGTTTTCTCTGGGCCCCCTTCTCAGCCAATGAGCTAGTCACTTCCGCTGGCCCCTTCCAAACAGTTAACCTTCAGGGGTCACAGCGTGTTAGTTGCAGCCTCACAGTGGTCAGAGCCAATGTCTGCCCCCTTTCCCATCTTGCATGCAGCTGTTCTCATAGTAGAGGTGTGGATGCAAGGATGCAAGGATGCAAGGATGCTGTGACCCAGTGACCAGTTCAGCTACAGAGAGTCTTTAGGTCCTAGAGTGGTAGAGACATATAGCATGGAAACAGACTCTTGGTCCGACCAGATATTCTAATCTGACCTAGTTCCATTTACCAGCATTTGGGCCATATTCCTCTAAACCCTTCCTATTCATATACTCATCCAGATGCCTTTTAAATGTTGTCGTTGTATTAGCCTCCATCACTCCCTCAAGCAGTTCGTTCCATACACAGACCACCCTTTGTGTGAAAAAATTACCCCTCAGGACCTTTTAAATTTTCCCTTTCTCACCTTAAATCTATGTCCTTTAGTTTTGGACTCCCCCACCCTAGGAAAAAGACAGACTTTGGCAATTCACCCTCATGATTTTATAAACCTCTATATGATCACTCTTCAGCTTCTGATGCTCCAGGGAAAAAATGCCCCAGCCTATTTAGCCTCTCCCTATAACTCAAACCCTCCAGCCCCAGCAGCATCCTTGTAAAACTTTTCCGCACCCTCTCAAATTTAACAACGTCCTTCCTGTAGAAGGGCAATCAGAATTGAATACAGTATTCTCAAAGACGCCTCACGAATGTCCTGTACAGCTGCTAATGATGTCTCAACCCCTATACTTAATGGTCTGATCAATGAAGGCAAGCATACCAAATACCTTCTACACCAAGCTGTCTACCTGTGACTCCACTTTCAAGGAACTGTGCACTTGCACCCCTAGGTATCTTTGTTCAGCAACGCTCCCTAAGGCCCTCCCATTAAATGTATAAGCCCTGCCCTGATTTGCCTTACCAAAATGCAACACCTCACATTTATCTAAATTAAACTTCATCTGCCACTCCTCGGCCCATTGGCCCATCTGAATATAGGGTCAAGGTGGCAACTTCCAGACCTCTTGAATGAATTTTGGAAAAAGTGCGTCAGCTGGATTGGTCAAGCCAGTGTAGACATTGCTGGTTTAGCAATGAAGTGTGTGCTGATGGAATTAGTGCACTCTGGGTCTCTGTGTTTGTGACCTTATACTGCCAAGAGATGCTGAGGATGCATCTAAGGCAGCAAAGATGGAAAATTTTCAGCCTTTACTCTTGCCTAATATGTTCTCAAAGGTCTCACCACTGTAAGAGAGTTTACTAAGAATACAAGCTTTGTAGACTCTCAGTTTGGTGTTCTCTGTTATTCCACACACTTACTCAGTTTGGACATAACAGCTACAGCTTTTGTGATGCATGTGTTGATTTCATTATCAAGGGGCAGATTGCTGGTGTTTGTGGAGCCCAGAAATATGAAGCTAACAACACCCAGCATCACATTGCCAATGCTAATAGATAGCAACATCCTGGAACAGGATTTTTAATGCTAATAATCATACCAAACTCTTTATAGGCATGAGAGAGTCTGTCAATTGGCTGCTGAAGATATTCTTTGATATGGAGTATTTGCATGGCAGAGTCAGAGTGGAGTAAATCTCTTATGGAGCTCACTGATTGGAAACAGAGCCCAGAGTGAGGACCAAAAACAATGGCTTCCATCTTCCCGATATTAAGTTGGAACAAATATCTGCAAATGTCGGATAAGCAGTTTGATAATTTAGCAACAGGGGAAGAGTCGAGAGAGGTGGTGATGAGGTAAAGCTGGGTGTTGTCAGTGTACCACCAAAGCAGTGTTTCTGGATGATAATGCCAAAGGACAGCTTGTAGTTGAGAAATAGTTGAGGGGGTGGGAGGCAAAAATAAATGATCAGGGAGAGCTGACATAATGCTGCAAAAGGAGGAAGAAAAGCCATTGCATATGATTGCATGTTTACCCGTGAGTTGCAAGAGGATATATAATTGACCATGTCAAAGTTTGCAGACAGGTCAAGAGGACAAGGAGGGAAAACTTACCACGTCACAGATGCACTTTCAGGATTTCATGATTGATACTGCAAGATGCAAACGCAAAATGGTATAAATCTGATTGATAAACAGAAAATGCTGTAAATACTCCATAACATTGGTGAGAGGAGAAATACAGTTGACATTTCAGGTTGATGACTTTTCAGCAGAACTGAAAATAATTGGTTTTAAACAAGTGTGCCCCATCTACAAGGACCACTGCAGAAATTCATTAAGGCTCCTTAAGCAGGACCTTCTAAACCACAAATCATCCAAAAGAACAAGGCCAGCAGTTACATGGACACCACCACCTGCGTATTCCCCTCCAAGTCACTCACCACCCTGACTTGGAAATATATCTCCATTGGGAGACAATGGCCTAGTGGTATTGTCGCTGGACTGTTAATCCAGAGACCCAGACAATGTTCTGGAGACCAGGGTTCAAATCCCGACATGACAGATGGTGGAATTTGAATTCAATAAATTCCTGTCCAAGTCACTCACCACCCTGACTTGGAAAGGTATCTCCATTTCTTCACCGTCACTGGGTCAAAATCCTGGAATTCCTTCCCATTGTAGGTCTGCACACGGATTGCAGTGGTTCAGGAAGGCAGCTGCTCAGCACCACCTTCTCAAGGGCAGCTAGGGACAGGCAATAAAATGCTGGTCCAGCCAATAACACCGACATCCTATGAATGAATTTAAGAGAAAAGGGGAGAGGGTGAGTAGTGAGATGACATAAGGGAAGGTCTGTATTTGGTAACAATGTAGGAGACATTAAATGAACAACAGCTTCAGTACCAATACTGACTGTATATTAAAGGAGATAGTAGGAACTGCAGATGCTGGAGAATCTGAGATAACAAGGACATGGGATACGGTGAGAACGTGGGTAAGTGGATCTGAGTCCACAAAAGGATCAGCCATGATCTTATTGAATGACGGAGCAGGCTCGAAGGGCCAGACGGCCTACTCCTGCTCCTAGTTCTTATGTAACACAGCAGACCAAGCAGCATCAGAGGAGCAGGAAGGCTGACGTTTCGGGCCTAGACCCTTCTTCATTTTCAGC